GAACCTGTTTTTTTTTCTTTTTTTCAATTTTCTTTGACGGAATAATTAGGGGGGAAAAGAAAGCTTTTTATGTCCACTCAAGTACTCATTCATTAAGATCTAAATTTTTCTCCATTATAATTATTTTTTATATCAGAATTAATTTTTATTAACATGACAACTAGCATATTGCCTGACAGCTAAGTAAAATTTGCTAAGCTTAAATAATAAAGACAGGCTAGGTTCTTAATAAAAATTGAATGAATAAATCAGAAAACTTGTCTTATAATTAGCCCTATTACTAATATTCAAAAGCATTATCAGTAATATCCCTTAGGCACAAAAATGTACATAAAAAGGCTACTAATTATTTGCAAATTTACTGAATATATATTTGTATATATACTGAATACACGGGCTGGAGCAATAGCACAGCGGGTGAGGCATTTGCCTTGCATGCAGCCGACATGGCCAACCTGGGTTCAATTCCTCCGAGCCCTGCAAGCTACCGAGAGTATCTCGCCTGCACAGCAAAGCCTGGCATATTCACTATGTCAAAAACAGTAACAAGAAGTCTCACAATTTGTTGTGAGACGTGACTGGTGCCCGCTCGAGCAAATCGATGAACAATGGGAGGACAGTGCTACTACTGGATGCATTTACTTTTTAGGGGATAGGTCCTAAAATCTGATGTTTTGTGGACCCTGAATGTTGGATAAAGCAATGCATAAAATGATCAATTCTCATGATCATATTCATAGAGAAGAAATTAATTTCTAAAAATATCTTCAGTCAAACTTTAATATGGAAGTATCTTCATCTTATACTTGACCATTTCTCTAATAATTGTAGGTTCGCACAAAAAGAATTGAACAGAAAAGGACTTAGAAACTACTTAATCTAGTGATACTCATAGCGTAGTTCCTCCTGATTTGAGAAACATCAATATAACCTGGGACACTGTTTTTTTTTTTTTTTTGAGGGACCCAGTGGGGAAGAAAGGGGTGGAGTTTGACCCCAAACTGAGTGGTGCAGGTGAGTGAGTAGGTAGAGGGGACTAGCTTGCTGTGAGTATACCACAGGTGAACAAGCACCTTAACCTCTGTACTATGGCTCACGACCTGAGAATTTGTCAAAGCAAAGAAACTCTTAGAAATGTGGTAGGTGAATCCGTTTCAACTCTATTAGATGGTTTTGACGTAAAACTAGAGAGTGAGAACCTTTGGTTTAATCCATGAGATCTCTTTCAAAAGTTGGAATTCTGTAGAAGTTAGCTGAAATGAATAACACTTGAAAAATAAAACGTTGGAAAGCATTTGAATGATTGATGTTTTAACTTAGGAGTTGGTTTGGCTTTTTTTTTTTCCTTTTTTGCTCCTGGCAGGAGCAATGTGGGGATCCAGGTGGAGGTGGAACTGGAGTCCGCTGCACAAAGACCAAGGATTGACTTCTGTACTGTCTCTCTGTTCACAGGTTTTGAAAGACATCTTTGATAGAAGTCCATCTTGTTCGCCACCTATATGAATCAGTTTCCTATGGATGCTGCAATTAGGATTAGGATTAGGATTAGGATTAGGCCCTCCCGCTGATCGTCCATTTGCTCGAGCGGGCCCAGTAACGTCTCCATTGGAGACTTTGTTGTTACTGTGTCTGGCATATCGAATACTCTCGGTAGCTTGCCGGGCTCTCCGAGAGGGGCGGAGGAATTAATTATCAGAAACTCAGCAAGGAAACACAATTTTATTACTTTACAGCTCTGCAAGGTCCAGTGATCCCAAGGGCTGTCTGGGTGGGTTGAAGATGGTGTTGCAACCCTCCAGGCAGAAAGGCAGAATCAGATCCCTTAATCCTTCTTGCTTCTAGAGGCCTCTCAGATTTCTCGACTTCTGGCACTTCTGTCCATTTTCAAAGCTGCATGTTAGGTATGTTAAAAACATTCACATTTTCTAGAACGACGTTTTCAGTAGCACAAACAAGTCCAATCACTCCCCTCTACCTACTCACAGACCTCAGGACCACACTGTCTGGGGCACAGAAGCCACTAGTCAGAGGGCCAGAAGGCCACCCATTGCAACAGCCTCGAGTAAGAAAGGAGATTAGGTTTATTCCATCCTCCTGACTAAATCAAGACCAATCGAGGGAGAGTGTGAGGGCGCTCATTTGTGGGAAAGAATTTAAAGTTTTAAACGAAGATATTTCTACTTCTGCCTTGTTTAACAGGGCCATTTCAAGAAGCTAGAGACTCCCTAAAGAGAGGACTTAATCATGGGTTTTCTGCATCATTTGAATGGCCGCTAAACATTCATTGACACACAGCTCGTATCTTTATTTTCCAAAGAGGTCTGAAAAGGGATGTTTGATCAGAGCACAGTTTCTGATCTGCGCGCCAATCATTCACATCGTCTTCTCTATTTTCCACCTTTTCATTGACGAGAGTCCCCATTTTTTCTTTAAATTAAAAAAAAAAAGCGAGCAGAAAAGGGACGGAGACATCTCATGGGCTGAGGAATTAGAAGTCACTGACACAAATGGGCAGGGTTTCTTTTTCAAGTCCGGCCACCCAAAAAACCGCGACAGTTCACACTTCCCAAAGGAACTCATTTTTGCAAACTTGACGAATGAATGAATGAAAGAATGAATGAATGAAGCCGCCCCCTCCCGGCTGCACTAAGGTTCATTTTTTTTTTTTTTTTTTGCTTTTTGGGTCACACCCGGCAATGCACTGGGGCTACTTCTGCTCATGCACTCAGGAATTACACCTGGCGGTGCCCAGGGTACCCTATGAGAGGCTGGGAATCGATCCCGGGTAGGGCGTTTGCCTTGCACGTTTCCCCTGCACTAACATTCTATACCATGGGATCTGCCAGTCCCACGTGCGGGGGTGGGGGGGGGGCCTTTCCCCGTGGGGGGACTCCCTGTTTTCAACTCCCCGGCCTGGGGCTGGAGTGATAGCACAGCGGGGCAGGGCGTTTGCCTTGCACGTTGCCTACCCGGGATCGATTCCCAGCCTCCCATAGGGTCCCCCAGGCACCGCCAGGGATAATTCCTGAGTGCATGAGCCAGGAGTTAAACCCCTGTGCATTGCCGGGTGTGACCCAAAAAGCAAAATAAATAAATAAAAATAAAAATAAAGGTTAGGGGTTGGAGTGATAGCACAGCGGGTAGGACGTTTGCCTTGCACGTGTCCAACCCGGGTTCGACTCCCAGCATCCCACAGGGTCCCCCGGGCACTGCCAGGGGTATTTCCTGAGTGCGTGAGCCAGGCGTTAAACCCCTCTGCATTGCCGGGTGTGACCCAAAAAGCAACATAAATAAATAAAAATAAAAATAAAGGTTAGGGGTTGGAGTGGTAGCACAGCGGGTAGGACGTTTGCCTTGCACGCCTCCAACCCGGGTTCGATTTCCAGCTTCCCATATGGTCCCCTGAGCACCGCCAGGAGTAATTCCTGAGTGCAGAGCCAGGAGTAGCCGCTGTGCATTGCGGGGTGTTACCCAAAAAGCAATAAATAAATAAATAAATGAATAAAAATAAAAATAAAGGTTAGGGGTTGGCGTGATAGTACAGGGGGTAGGGCGTTTGCCTTGCACGCAGCTGACCCAGGATGGATTCCCAGACTCCCATAGGGTCTTCTGGGCACCGCCAGGGGTAATTCCTGAGTGCGTGAGCCAGGAGGAACCCCTGTGCATTGCGGGGTGTGACCCAAAAAGTAAATAAATAAATAAATTAAAAAAAAAAAAGGTTAGGAGTTGGAGTGATAATACAGCGGGTAAGGCGTTTGCCTTGCACGCGGCCAAGCCGGGATCGATTCCCAGCCTCCCATAGGGTCCCCTGAGCACCGCCAGGGGTAATTCCTGAGTGCATGAGCCAGGAGTAACCCCTGTGCATCGCTGGGCGTGACCCAAAAAGCAAAAAATAAATAAATAAATAAAAAATAAAAAAAAAAACCCTCTCTGGCCTCCTCCTCCGCCCAGCCAGGCCCTGGAGCATCAATTTCCCGGGTCGTCCGGTCGCCAACGCCCCCCCCCCCCCCCCCCCCAGTCCTCCCGGGGGTGGGGGGGGGGGATATTTTTCCACCCGACGGCGTCGAGGCCGAGAGCCAGCAACGCGGTCCGACTCGGCCGGCTGGGCCGAAGCGGCAGAGCCTGGTCTCCCCGGGTGGGCTGCGAGGGCGCCGCCCGCTCGGGCCGGGCTGCGGCTCGGGCGTCCGTGGGGGGAGGAGCAGCAGCTGCGGCTGGGGCTGGGGCTGGGGCTGGGGCGCTGCCGTGGCGACGGCCGCGAGGCGGGTGGCCGCGGAGTCGACCCAGCCCTGCCCACCCGGCCCAGCCGCGTCGGCCGGGGCTGCTGCAGCAGCGACTCCTGGGCTGGGGGTGGGGGCGCACGGCCGCAGCAGCGGCGACGGCGACGGGAGCGAGAGGGGGGCCTGAGGGGGGGCGCTGACGGCCGCGGCACGACCTCGCCGGCCCCTTCTGCGGCGGCCATTTTTGCCGAGCCGAGCCGAGCCGAGCCGAGGAGCCGAGCCGAGGAGCCGAGCCGAGCCGAGGAGCCGAGCCGAGCCGAGCCGAGCCGAGGAGCCGAGCCGAGCCGAGCCGAGGAGCCGAGCCGAGCCGAGCCGAGCCGAGCCGAGGGGGAGGCGTGTCCCTGCGCCCGCCCGCCCGCCCGGCTGCCGCCTCTTCCTGGGGGCCCGCGCTTGCAGGAAGCGTCTCTGGCGGCGGCCGCCGCGGGGTGGGGGCGGGGCGGGCGGTGAATGGGGCGTCCGGGGCCCGCTGGAGCCGCCGGGCCCGGGAAGCAGCAGCAGCCGCAGCCGCAGCCGCAGGAGCAGCAGCAGCCGCAGCAGCAGCAGCAGCGCCCGGGAGGCCCTTGAAGGCCGCCGCGGCCCGTCCCCGTCCCCGTCCCCGTCGCCTCAGCGCCCGGCCGGCCTTTGTGGTGTGGGCCCCGCTCGGCCGGCGCCCCCCCGCCCACGCGACCCCCACCCCCACCCCCCTCTCAGGCCCGCGTGCCGCGAGGCCCCTCAGCCCGGCGCGCGCGGGGGGCCATGGACTAAGGCGGCGGCGGCGGCGGCGGCGGCGGCGTGGGAGGACGAAGATGGCGGCCGGCAAGAGCGGCGGCAGCAGCAGCAGCAGCGGCGGCGGCGGCGGCGGCACCGGCAGCGGCAGCAGCACCAGCAGCAGCAGCAGCAGCAGCAGCGGCAGCAGCAGCGGGAGCAGCGGCAGCAGCGCCGGGGAGGTGACTTTTCTGGCAGGTAGCGCTTCGGTGGCCACTCGGGGTGGGGGGTGGGGGAAGGGCCGGGAAACGTCGACCCCCAGCACCCACCCCCACCAGCACCCACAACACCCGTGCTCCGGCCCCCTCCCCCCGCCCCCTCCAGGTCTCCCCCTCCCTCCCCCGCATCTTCATCTAGCCTTGGGACGTGGAGGGGGCCGAGGGGAGGGTTGCGGAGGTCCAGGGCAGCGGGGGTCGGTGGTGGGGGGGCGGGGAAGAAGACCTCGGGGCGTCCCCGGGTTCGAGCCCCGCCTGCCCGCCCGTCCCGGGTGCCCCGGGCGAGGGGCTTGGAGGGGCGGCCCGGCGCCGCTGGATCGGGCTGGACTGCAGGGGAACGGGGCTGGGGGTGGGGGAAAGGGTGGTCTTTGAGGGCACCCGTGCGAGTCCTTGGACGACGTGGTGTGGGTCTGGATCTGCCCCCCCCCCCCACACCACCAAAAAAAAAGAAAAAAAATTTGCTGGTCGGTGGAAAAAAAAAACCCCTTTGGAGCTGGAGCTGCAGCGGCGCTGGCGACGGGTTGCAAATCCTCCGGGTGACGCCAAGTCCGGGTGTTGGGGGCGGGGAAGGGGAGCAGCGAGAAGAGGGTCCTCCCTTGCCCCGGAGGGTGTGAACCCTCTCCGAGACCCCGGTTTCCACAAGGCGGTTTTTTTTTTTTTTTGCAAAGTCCGCAGTTGCAGGAGGAGGTTCTGGGCCTGGCCTGAAATTTTTTAAATTTTGTTTATTTATTAATTTTTTTTTTTTTTTTGCAAGAGTGTTGGGTGAAAGAGCATGAAAAAAATCAGTCCCGGGGGTGGGGGTGGGGGTGGGGGAAACGGAGCAAGAGGTTCCGGACGGCAGTTCTTGGTGCAGGGGTTTCTCAAAGGGGGCCCGGGGAAAAGTTTTCGGCCGGTCCCCGGGAGGGATCTTGGCAGCGGGGGGACGGAGCCGGCCCGAGGCAGGGCCCCTTAGGGCTGTCCGGGATGGCGCTGGCGCTTGGGCGGGCGACACTGGCCCCTCGCCCACACCAAGGAGGGCTCCAGCCCAATTTGCAGGCCAGGAACACACCATTTTCCACGTTGCTTCGTTCAGCTCCGGATTCCGCGTTTGCGCCCGTCCCTGATTGAGATTGTAGGGACGGTGGATTGTTCTAAGACACGGGGCTGTCGGCTGGTGCAGCTTTTTGGTTTTCCGAGGATTCGCTGCACTTGGATGACTAGAGAGGTTTGTTCTCGACGTTTTGTGCAAGCTCAGCGTGATGAAACACTCAGAAGCGGTCCTGAATTTAAGGAAGCCCAGTTGGAGTCGGGTCAGAATTCTGGAGGATGGATGGGCATGCCTCGTTTTCCTGTTGCTATCTGTGCCCCGAACCCATTAATCATCTTCTTATTTTTGGCTTTTTGGGCCACACCTGGCGATGCACAGGGGTGACTCCTTGCTCTGCACTCAGGAATTATTCCTGGCGGTGCTCAGGGGACCATATGGGATGCTGGGAATTGAACCCGGGTTGGCCTCGTGCAAGGCAAACGCCCTACCCGCTGTGCTATTGCTCCAGCCCCCCAATATTCTTCTAATGAGCTGTAATACCGGGGTGTCTTTTGGGGGAAAAATATCTTAATCTTCTTAGTTTTGCTTTCTTGCATATAGCAAGGTGAGGGGGCAAGAATCGTATTCTGCTATGCAAGCCAGTTCTTACTGAAAAATGGTGAGAGGTGTTATGATCGTCTGGTTTAAAAAGAAAGTGAAAAGCTTGTACATTTTTCTGTTTTTTTTTTTTCTTTTTCCATATTGCCGACCTCTATGCTAGTTTGAACAGAATAGATGCTTGTCATAGACTGAAGGTTTGGTATTTGCATTCTTTTTTGTTGTTGTTTTGAAAAGGAAATCTCAAAAGATGGCTTCTGAGGATGCTTATTCAGAATGCAGATGGTTAAACCTTTCTGCCTGTAAATTTGAGAGCTTTGAGTTTGGTTTTGACTAGATGAACATAAGGCTAGAACGTGTAAATCAAGCCAGTAGGCACAGGGCTGATACAGATCTCAAACTTGGTTTGAGTTTGAGGATCTCTTGAGTGTGCAGGTGTGATAAATGGAACTTTATGTCTTCAGCAGTTGTCCAAAAAGTGAGTAGTAACTTAATTAGAACATGATCTTGATAAGGTCAAGCAGATTTTAGTTCTCATATGGAATATGCTCGAAGTCTTGGGCCCAAGACATAGTACAAAGGTTAAGGTGATAGCTTTGCATACAGCTGACTAGGATTCAGTCCCTGGGCCGACATATGGTTTCTTGAGCACTGTGAAGAGTGGTCTCTGAGCTCAGCCAGTAGTAGGTCCTGAGCACTGCTGGGTATGACCCCCTTCACTTCCCTCGGGGGGGAAAAACCCCAGGCAACAAAAACTTCCTTAGTAAATGGAATGTAATTAGTACTACTTGTATTTTTGTGTTTTCTTTTTCCATGATTCTTTGGGTTCACGACACACTTTAAAGTACTCTACAACTTGAATTACATTTTTATTACCATATTTTCAAATTGTTTTCTAGTAGGGGCCTAAGAATTTAATATTTAAAACATCTGCATTGCCTATTTGCCGTACTCTACAGTAACACTGTGGCACTGCCCTGTTGGCACTGCCCTCACATTGTTTTGCTCCAGTGGGCACCAGTATTGGCTCCGTTGTGAGACTTCTTGTTACTGTTTTTGGCATATCGGATGGGCCATGGGGAGCTTGCCAGGCTCTGCCTTGCTGGAGGGATACAGAGGAATCTATATCCGGGTCAGCCGCCTGCAAGGCAAATGCCCTACCGCAAAATAAAACTTAGGCGGGTTTTCATTCATTCATCAATATTTTTAAGAACCTTACTCTGGTATACACTGTATCAAGATGACTATACAAGACTGAACCTATAGTTTAGTGGGAGCGACTTTTAAATTATAAAGTAAAAGTCCATTTAGAACAGTCTTATTTCGTGTTTTTTTTTTTTCTTTCACTTTTTCTTTATTCATTTTATTCAGGCCTGCTCAGCTATGACAACCTACTTTTTTTGTTTGGTTTTTGTCCACACTCACTCATACTCAGGGATCACTTCTGGTGCTTGGCAGACTGATTATGGTGCTGGGGATTGAACTAGGGTTGGCTGTGCGCAAGACAAACTGTGTTAAAAGTCCTGTTCTCTCTTTGGCCCCCTGACAACCTACTTGAAAAGTGAACACTGTCATCCTCTTCCTCATGTTTGTACATACAATATTCCCTATTACTGTTGTTGTTTTTTTTAAATAATACCAGTTAATGTTTGTCTTTATATATTTGAATATTAAAAAATAGAGTAAAGTATAATGAATGCCATAGAAGAAATACACAGTAATGAAACAAAGGGAAAGTCATTTTACATAATGTTGAAGCAGTAAAAGCCCCTCTTTACCCACTGGTGATAGTTCAGAGGTAGCACCAGACCTGTGGCCAGTCTGGCAGAGAATGAGACCTGTAAAGGTGGAGGCGAGAAGGAGATCCCGGTGACTGAGCAAGGAGAGGGTGATAGAAAGGCAGCAGTCCTTGCATGCAAGGTATTGAAGGCCATTGCAATTTACTTCTGCCTTAAATGTGTTACATCCTGGCTTCATTCAGTGGAATTAATATATTTCATTTATAAATCACTTGATTCATGTTCATGCATTGATCAGAATAAACGTTTTTCGTTACGTTAGAAATTCACTGAGAGTGTAAAGCCAGAAGCCACAATACCAGGGTTCAACATGTAGAGTCTACTGTTTTGTGATTTTTGGATCGATCACATAACCTCGTTGTGTTTGTATGTCTGTAAAACTAGAGTCACAATCGGCAGGATGGGAGATGTGTGCCACAGTAGAGAAGGAACCAAACATGATAACCTCTCAATATCTGTATTGCAAACCATAATGCCCGAAAGTAGAGAGAGAATATGGGGAATATTGTCTGCCATGGAGGCAGCGGGACGGTCGGAAAGGGGGGGGTATACCAGAGATATGGGTGGTGGGGAATGTGCACTGGCGGAGGGATGGGTGTTTGATCATTGTGTGTTTGTAACCCAAACATGAAAGCTTGTAATTATATCTCACAGTGAATCAATAAAATTTAAAAAAAAACTAGAGTCACAATTACAGTTTTATTTCTTGAGGTTAATATGTTTATATGTACATATGTATATACTTACATGTGGTATATATTACATGCACACATATGCACACACACATATATATATACACACATGTACTGGAAATGTTTTAAAATATGTAGTCAATTTTTAAAATAATTCCAGGCACATAAAAAAGCACTTATTGTGGGGCCTGATAGATTGTATAGAGGGTAAGGCACTTGCCTTGCACGTGGCTGACCTGGGTTTGATTTCCAGCATCCCAGATGGTCACCTGAGCAGTGCTAGAAGTAATTCCTGAGCACAGAGCTAGGAGTAACCCCTGAGCATCGCTGGACGTGGCCCCCTTCCCCTTCCAAAATAAGCACTGTTTGTTGCTGTTTTTTCCTTAGCAGGTGGAAGAGAACTTTTTCTGATTTCTGTCTTGTCCTCTTATTTGAATTCTAGTTACTTTTCTTTGATTTATTGCCTTTTTCTACGTACTAGCTGATTGTTCTTTATGTTTTAGGATGGCGTTCTGAGAGAAGAGAGTGGAGTTATGCATTTTGTGTCTAGATTTCTATAAGTTGATCATTCCTGTTGACTTTCCAAACTTACATGAAATATTTGAGGGAATCAAGAGTAGAACGAGTTTTTGTGACCAAGAGTTGGTGAGGAAATCAGAATTGCATTTTGAATTCTAATCTAGCTTTAAGTCGGTTTCAACATTGCCTTTCATCCTTTCCCTGTCTTTCCTTGCCCCTTTACTATTTTATTCTTTTCCTTACCCAGTTTTTCTATTAGTATAGGGGCTAGAAATAAATGGGGAGGGGGGAGGGAAATGCTGAAAGTAGCGAAGAATTAACCATTAATCGAAACATCCCTTTAACATAT